AAAATGCACTTCAACATTTCACAAGAGCCACTTGATACGGAAATTTGTAAGAAAAATGCCCCGCCCCAGATTGAGCCCAGAACGCACATTTTTGCGCGAGCCTGCGCAGTCAAAACGCATGTCAAGGTTTCACAAGAGCCACTGCATGCGGAAATTTAAAGGAGAAATGCCGCGCCCCAGAACCTAGGTGCACACTTTGTGCCAGCCTGCGCAGTCGAAACGCATGTCAAGATTTCACAAGAGCCACTTTGTACGGAATTTACAGGTAAAATGCCGCAGACCAGAGTGAGCACCCTGATCAAGCACCGGCTTTTACAGCTACGGTAAGAACCCCTCAGTGTGGACACACTGTTTGGGGAAAAAACATGCATAGTTGCGGTGAATGCAAAGGTACAGGTACAGAAGTGCTGATCAGGCCTTCTAGAACTTTCCAACCTGAATGTATGGATATTGCATATAACTGGTGATTTTTTACTGGTCTGTAATGCCATATAAAAACCCATACTTGGCTGTTTATAACACCAAATAAATAACCCATATAATCCTTTCCCCCTATTACTAACCCCCCCCAAATACTAAAAACTAGGGTCCATCTCTAATTCTGGAAAATTTCAGATTGGCCAATTTGACTTTTGATTGATCCCCTTTAGAAAACAAGTTAAAAATAAAGCTACCATTTGTGGGTTTTGCCCCCTCATAATAAAAACTAGTTAACCGTTAACCCCGGGGTGTTTATCATTAGGGTCCGTCCGATTTTTTCTAGTTTTTATTATTAGGCTTTAAATTTTATTAATAGGATACGCTTCGAAATCCGATTTTTGGCAATATATTAATCGCGTTATAAAAAGAAATTTAATTGATTTTGAAATCGAACAAACTAGTTTTTATTATTAAGGGGTTTAATTTTATTGATAGGGTCCGCTTCGAAATCCAATTTTTGGATTTCTTTAATCGCGTTATATAAGGAAATTTGATTGATTTTGAAATCGAACAGACTAGTTTTTTTTATTAAGGGTTTAAATGTATTATATAATAGGGTCCGCTTCGAAATCCGATTTTTGGCTTTCTTTAATCGCGTTATATAAGGAAATTTGATTGATTTTGAAATCGAACAAACTAGTTTTTATTATTAAGGTTTTAATTTTATTAATAGGGTCCGCTTCGAAATCCAATTTTTGGCAATATTTTAATCGCGCTATATAAGGAAATTTAATTGATTTTGAAATCGAACAAACTAGTTTTTATCATTAATGTTTGAATTTAATTAATAGGGTTCCCTAATAATAAATACCCCCCCTAATACTAAAAACTACCTGAGGTGTTTATTAATAGGGGGGACGTTCAGTATTAGGGGGAAGGGATTATATATATATATACATATGTTTGTATATACGTATTATATACATATTAAATATTATATATATATATAATATATATATACATAGGATTGACAGCCTCACTCTTTTCTGCAATTTGCCATGCAGGTGTATCGATGCCCCAGCCTCAGACGGCCCGGCTAGCCGCTCTGGAACGGCGGCGTTGATCGCTGCGTCCGCCGAAAGCGGCGGACCCTTGGCCTTTCGAGGCTTGGCCCTGGCGGCGGGAAAACCCACAGAAACCCATAGAAAAGCCACGGAAAAAACATGGAATAAACATGGAAAAACAATGTTCAACCATGTGTTCACCATGCTTTCTCCATGTTTAACATGTTTTAAGCAGTACCATTTGATGATGAAAGCGCAATATGGTGGAAATAGATGAAATTAATCTTAAAGAAAATGGACATAGAACGTCCCAAGATTGTACAAATGCTGCTCCAATCCATCCACGCACAACATGGTAGTGACGTCCCTAAGTCTTTTAAGCTGGAACCACCAAACTTCGTGATCCAACTCAGAAACTGCTGGGTTTAACCAGCAGTTTCTGAGTTCATGGTGCAGCCACATCCGGGACGGCGCTTCCCACCTCTGTGTAGCCTGGTCCAAGCCATGGAGCTGGTGGACCATGGTTCTATCCTCCATTTTTTTACCGTGCCATGGTCAAGTTACATGGGATTCAGGGTCTGTGGTCATCCATCCCATGTGAGTTTATCTACGTGCAACTGCTGTGGTCGCACCTTCGATTGTTTCCCGGGGAATACACATTTGATTGATGTGCCCCCTATGACTCTTGGCTCAAGGCCAAGGGCCAAGCGAGACAGGGGAAAAGATCTCGAGTGCCGCCATAGGATTGGCTGTGTGTGTGGAGACGGAACTCGTCCATTTCCTTTTGATTGGCTGGATAGATTCATCTTTGGTGTCGTGGCCAACACTCTGGTCATTTAATATCTTGGCTGTACTACAATTATTACAACTTCATTCTGGTGATCAAGGAGGACCTTGAACCCTTTCAGGTGGGAACCGTTACCAGTGGAGTTGGTATATACATCCGCATTTATGGACTTATGATCATTCCCTCAGATTAGGCTCTGTTTTCTACAACTTCTGACCGTGGCGCAGGTCCGGCAGCCCGGCACAGGTCCGGCGCAGGTCCCCGAGGTTTCGGACTTCCGGGACTTCGATCAGCGAGATCCCCAAGTCCCCAAAACTGTTCCTGGGCGGCGGAGCGCCCATGTTTACCCGGCCTGGTGAACGTACAAAAAACGAACTGGAAAGATCCACCATTAATGGGTAAATCAACTATTTCTATGATAAATATGAGGAATATGCATATGATTTCCAAAAAAATTATTTGCCATGCTTATATACCCTCTGGTAAACTAACGTAACTATGGAAAGATCCACCATTTTGAATGGGTAAATCAACTATTTCGACTGGGCCATTTTCAATAGCAAACTGTTTGTTTACCAGAGGGTATACAGAAGCCACCAGGAAATTCTTCGACCAAGTGGCGGATCAAAACGTCTCAGAGACAAGAGCCTCACGCCAAATCCCCCGAGGTGATACAGAAACAAACGGCTGTCGGGTGTGGACTGGGTCAAAATTGGGTGCTCGCTTAAAAAAAAAAAGTTTTGCGGGTCTACCCAGACCTCCAAGCGCCACCGGCCCATTGAAACGTTCGATGGTGAGGATCCTGCTGTTCACGAAACTCATTTTCTTACCATCCGTTTGACCTTTCACGAGGCTTCTGTTCAAGCTCCCGCGGAAAAAATCCACCAAATTTTGCTGACCAACTCTGCTGGTGAACTGTTCCCTCTACGAAAGGTGCAGCCATCAGGTGCATCCAAGAAGAGATCAGAGATCATTGATGTTGGTGGCCAAATCCGCAAGGTCGTATCCCCTTTATCATAATATATCTGCGAGATCTTCTAATCATAGTGATATGCCGGCTGTCTGAAAACTGGGTATGCCATGGTATACCTCAAAATCCAATCGTTCATCGTCACTTTTTCCAGACTTGAAACCTGTCCAACATACCTAAAATCATCATGGTTACAAAGCATTACCCACCAATACCCCCAGTTTTTCCGTCAGTTGCCCCAAAACAAAGATCCTCCAACGTCCGGAGGGTCGTCAGCCATCGTCAGCCCCTGCCTCTCAAGTGAATATTGCAAGCCAACAGCCTGCGCGGTGCGCCAAACCCTACTTTCGCCCACCTCCGAATAACTCACCAAGACAATATCATATACTTGTCACCAGAGGATGAATGAAAATGAATGAAAGCACTGGCTGTACCCAGTTTGATGTTAGGCTTTCAGGATTTAGGGGTTTGAGGGTGTTAGGGTTTAGGGATATAGGATCTTTGGGTTTAGGGTGTCGGGGGTTTAGGGCCTTTAGGGTTTGTTGTTCTGAAAAGTTAAAAATGCTAGCCCTGCTAGCGGGATTTGAGCATGTCAAAGGATATGAGGAATCGGTGGTGGGTAAATGTAGGGCTTGCAGCCATGTCACTTAACGATGTTTAAACATGTTTAAACTATTCTGACATGGCTTTGTCTGAGAATTTGCCAAAAAAACCGACGCTTTGCGCTTTATCATGATTTTCCCATTCATATTTGAATGGGGGTCTATTTTCAGATGCACCCAAATGGGGATTCATACAAGCCCCGACTGCGACCCAAGGTGATTTTTATAGATCCCCTACAGAAGCCGGCGTTCGGCAGGGCGGTTTTTGTGCGAATGGATTCCCATGCTGGATGCAGATTCCCAATATATCAAAGGTAGTCATAGTTCATAACCAATCAACAGAAGTCTGGCCGTCTGGCCGCTCGGGATTTGAATACCTTTTCATAATTCTTTTTGGACAGCCCAGTCAGCTGACCCCCAACAAAACATGTGGCTGGTGATATTCCGAGTCTTTTTTCCACTAAACCCAACAAAATCGATCCAATCTGGTAGAGCTTGGTATGGATTCTCATTGGCGATACACCACTATACCCCACACGGCACGACAAGCCTCCTCCATCTGGGTCATCTTCACAGGCAAAAAAAGGTTGTGAAGCGGATGTCTCTGCGATGTTTTGGCGCTGGCTGATTACTTTGCAAAAAGATGGTCAAAGCTTAGAAACTCCTCCGATGTGATTCGGAATTCGCCTTTCAAAAACGCGAAAATCGTCAACCGGTTGGTGCTACGACAGTTTGCGCCGGTGGTTTTTTCATGGCTCGACATCAGCATCAGATGGTGAGCTTTGAAGCTGTCATTCAGCTGGACCAAAAACGTTGCTGCGAATAACCCCCTGCTAAAACTTGGGAGACAAGGAAGTTAAATAAAGATCAAATAGCTGGATACAGGGCACACCAACTCACCAACGAAAAAGAAACCCATTTTGGGATGTTACCACCACTTAGCCAGAAATATGTTTCCCTGTACTGTTGGTGGAAAATATCTATAGCCATGCTTAGAAAATGTGCTCTTCCAAACCCTTCGAGGTCGTGGGGCTGAAAATGAGCCACCCTATGCTATCCATCCACTGGAAAAAAATCATCAGTTTCCCCACTAAAACATATCTAGAACATATCTTTAAACTATTTTAGGCTTATTTTCAACATAACCTCCATTTTCAACCACACCCACGTTGGTCTACCATAAAATCTGCCATCTGCAGCTGCGATGTTCCGCTGGCTCTCCACTCCACGCCGCAACGGCGTCGTAGCGGCTGCGTCAAGCATTGCGCTTCACTCGGTCGTAGTAGATCATGCCGACCCTCAAGACCAAACACGTGACAGTCTGAGACTGGAGACAACCATGACATCGGGGAAGCCCATAGCAGTCATAGCACTGGAAGTCGGCTTCCAGTGCCAAAGAAAATGTGAAATGAGGTTGAATAGTCAGCAGCTCATAGTGAATCCATTCTTCTCACAGTTTTTCGGTCACTAGTTGGTGTGTTTAACCTTGTTTAACCACCGTGCAAAATACGAGTCACTGGGCATCATCATCCCAAATATGGCTGGAAATGAAAAGGATTGAAACGGATTTGCCATCAAGCAGCTTAGCATTCTTTTCGTCCCTCAAGCTACCAATGCAGGAGGGTCCAGCAGATTCTGGCATGGTATTTATCTATGATTATCACTATTATTATTACTATTATTATTCTTACTATTATTATTATTGCTACTATTATTATTATTGTTATAAGTTATAAGTATTATCAGTATCATCATTATTGTCAAGTTATATCTATATATATATATATATATGCATTGTCTTTAAAAATGAGTTGGCCATATCTGATCATAAGTTGGGATATTGTTATCATCATAAGTTGCCTATCCAATCAACCAATTTTCTATAACAATCAACCAATTGGGCATAGATATTTATATTTATCTATTTATTTATCTATATATATATGGAGGTTTCCTGAAGCGGGGGTACCCTCAAATCATCCACTTTAATATGATTTTCCATTAACCATCCAGCCATTGGGGTATCCCCTCTGGAAAACCCCTTTGTTATATCCTTAGGAGAACAATTATAGACCGTGTACTTTGTTGTACCCTCTGGTAATTTAACATAGCTATTGAAAATGACCATTTATAGTTGATTTTCCCATTATATAAACATTGGCATTTTCAATAGCTATGTTAGTTTACCGGAGGGTATATCCAAGAGATACCCCATAATGTCATCCTCGTTCACTGCACATAATCCTTGGGGACGCGCCAAGCATCAAGGCAGTGCCGTAGCCACAGAGCTGTTGCGTTGTCACGGTACCACCCACCAGGGTCAAGGACAGCCCGGCCGTGGCCACGTCCTCCGTGGCAGGTTCCGTGGGAAAAAAGGGAAAAAAAATGGGAAATCATGGAAAACATGGGGAGTGAAACATGTGAAAACGCACCATTTCAAGACAAATACGCTGCAAATTTACTATTCTAACCAGCAAAATGGAGAGTTGAGCAACAAAGAAATGGAGATCTAAGCATGTTTAGCAACGAAAAAAGGTGTTAAAACATGGTGTTGGTGAAGCAACCAAGGCCATGGGCTTTCACAAAAAACATGGTCTTTAAACCGAATGGCAAGCCATGTTTAAAGCTGGGAGGTGCCATGAAGTTTCTGAACCAGTGCCAGGATGATCGAGTCGGTGCTATAGATCATATCAAATATCATCAAACATCATAGCATTTTATACAATAAAAAGCCAAGAAAAAGAAAGCTCGAAAAGTGAAGAGTGAATTTATCACCAAGTGCTTTTTAAGCGGATTTCACCAAGTAAGTTCTATCTTTTTGGGGACAACTACCCGGCCTGGTTTTATGAAACACTTCGCTATTGAACATTGTCCATCATTGTCCGACTTGACTTCGTTGATTTACCGAAAAATTTTGATGGTGATTTTCCACTTCACCGAACATGTTTACCATAATCCATTGGGATGGTTCTACATGTTTACCATCCTAAGTTTCCCTATTTTATCTGGTTGGTGGTTTTAACCATCTATAAATGGGCAAATGACCATCTTTTAATGGAAAATCCATGGGTAAATTATCTGGTTGGTGGTGCAATAACCATCTTGAAAAATGATGGAGTTCGTCAATGGGAAGGATGACATCCCATATATGATGGAAAATAATCCAAATGTTTGAAACCACCAATAAGTTATTCAGTTTACCACCTGGGTGTGTCTGAAAATAGTGTACCCCTAAACCCAATGGTTAATGATCATTATCCCTATTAAATGGCTATTTCATTGGGAATATACCCTATTTTCAGACAAACCCACCTAGTTGCCAGCTAAAATGCTAGGCTGCTAGGCCCTTGGCCGTGCCTTGGCCGTGCCGAAAACGGTGAAGGTCACGGGACTGGCCACTTTCCTTGCTGCTGCAAGGAATGCAGAGGCAGCGGCCCGCCCTTTCTGGAGGGAAGTAATGAAGTAACGGAACGTCGTTGAAAAAAAATGGTGATTCAACCAACAAAAATGGTGATGTACTCAACAAAAATGGTGATTTTAACCAACAAAAATGGTCATGTACTCAACAAAAATTGTGATTTTAACCAACAAAAATGGTGATGTACTCAACAAAAATGGTGATTTTAACCAACAAAATGGTGATGTACTCAACAAAAATGGTGATTTTAACCAACAAAATGGTGATGTACTCAACAAAAATGGTGATTTAACCAACAAAAATGGTGATGTACTCAACAAAAATGGTGATTTAACCAACAAAATGGTGATTTAACCAACAAAAATGGTGATGTACTCAACAAAAATGGTGATTTAACCAACAAAAATGGTGATGTACTCAACAAAAATTGTGATTTAACCAACAAAATGGTGATTTAACCAACAAAAATGGTGATGTACTCAACAAAAATGGTGATTTAACCAACAAAAATGGTGATGTACTCAACAAAAATTGTGATTTAACCAACAAAATGGTGATTTAACCAACAAAAATGGTGATGTACTCAACAAAAATGGTGATTTAACCAACAAAAATGGTGATGTACTCAACAAAAATTGTGATTTAACCAACAAAAATGGTGATGTACTCAACAAAAATGGTGATTTAACCAACAAAATGGTAATGTACTCAACAAAAATTGTGATTTTAACCAACAAAAATGGTAATGTACTCAACAAAAATGGTGATTCAACCAACAAAAATTGTGATTTAACCAACAAAAATGGTGATTTGACCAAAAAACGGTGGTGGAATGAGATATAGTGAGACTTACATTTCTGGTAATCAAACATGGCTGGCTGGAAAATCCCCGAACCGGAGGTTGCTGGGACAGTCATCAAACTAAATGGGGTGTTTTTCATTGCCATGTTTGATTACCCTCGGGATCATAGACACAGTGGGGGCCGAGAACATAAACCAACTGATTGTGGATATAAACCAACTTACCTACCTATAGTACATTATAGTACGTAACTGGGAGCCTCATCCCAGTTTGCATGGCATAGTTTTCTATGGGTTATAACTGATTGCATCTCTCAATAGTTGGTCCAGATATCAACCCGGAACTCGCCGGACCCCACAAAAAATCGGCCATGAAGAGGACATTGCCATGTCAGATTCGTGGCAACAATTCAGATCTTATGTAGATGGATCTAGCCACCGAAAGGTCGTTTTGTTGAACCGAAAAAAGTCTTGATTTGAAGCCCCATGACAAGAACATAGTTTTCTCCAGTGAAAATGGGGACGAAACATTGGTTTTGAAGCCACTAACATACCTGGAGCTTTGGGTCATCCCCTTCTAGTGGTTTTCTGGGCGGGATTCACAGTCTCAGTTTGACATGTTGTAGATCTTCGCAGATGTGTCATACAGTAAGTCAACATGGAGTCCTAAAACGGGGGTACCCCCAGTTACCATCCATTTATAGATGGATTTTCCATGAAAGAAACCATCCAGCTATGGGGGTACCCCATGACTATGGAAACCCAAAAAAAAAGTCTCGATGTCCATTGGATCAATGTGACACCCAAGATTCAACAGCCTGGAGTAGGCAATGTTCAAAGTCACCTCGCTGTCGGCACAGCAACCTTTCGGGAAAGGTTGCTCTGCCGACTATCCAAACACCAGAACTGTCAACTAGGACTGGACCTGCAGAATGATTAAAAAAAACAACTCTGGTATGACCATCACAGCCACCTATAGTTACAGCTGTCAACTATGGACAAGGCACCATGGCTGGCCCAATGCGGTCAGCCACTGAGGTTGCAACAGAAATTACCCCAGATGTTGTTTTTGTTTGTTTGGTTCCTTGTTAAAAAAAAACGGATTGATTAAAGGCCAATTTGTTGGTTGAATACATAGAATTATATATACACACAATAGACCAGCATTTTTCCATCGGTTTCGATGGTCAAATCGAATAAATAGCAATGTGAAAAACCAATATGTTTAATGTTTTACGTCCCTATGTTCGAGGATTCAATCTTTTAAATCAGCATTGTTCATGCTTCAGCCACCACTTTTGATGCTCAAACTTCCCGTCGCAAAACCTTGGAGTTTTCCCGGGTCTCCCCGCAGCCACCAGAGAGTTCAACACTAGAGCTGAACCTGTCGGGGGAATGATCCAATTGAGAACTGGAGTAGATTAGTAGATGGTAAGAATCATCCCATTCCTTTTTGGGGGGTGCAAGTTGCCATTTGTAGTGTGATTGGGATAAAAGCTATCAAAATGATTTGGTATGATCAATAGATTTACCATATATATATATAGTTATATGTATGTATAATGTATTTGTATCTATATATATATATGTACAGTAATAGTATGTAATAGTTACGTATACAGATACACCTACCAAAAGGATGGCGACAACACGGTGTTTTTTTCGGAAAAAAAAACACGTTTTTCGTGATCCCCTTGGGGGGTCCGGCAAAAAATTCTCCCAGTGGACATGGATTTCCATGGCTCCAAGTCCGGAAGATCTTGGAAGAAGACTGGAACTGGAGGTGTACCCTCTGGTTATGTCAAAATAGCTATTGAAAATGGCCATTGAAATAGTGGATTTTCCCATGAAAAATGGTGATTTACCATAGTTATGTTAGTTTACCAAAGGGTAAGAACAATGATGCAATGAAATCAATGAATAAGGGTTGGCACGCTCTCCAAGACCACGTTCTGAAAACCCTAACAATGATAACACCCTTCAAAACCCATCCAGAACTCCCAAAAAAATGGCTGTGGAAGCTGAATTTTCTAACCTGCCACTAAAATCAATTAAATATGGTTTCAATCTTGGTTTCCAAGTCAGAACTTGGAACCCCAACTGACCCAAAGCCACCTTGTAAGACATCCATCCGCCCAGCGGTCCAGAAGGAATGCCATTCATATGTCGCTGCGGCTGCAAAGGTGAAAATGAAGGCAACGGGTGAGAAGAGAGCCACTGCCTCAGTCTTTTCATGAACAGTGTTGGTGTTCCCTGCAATCACTGGACACCCATGAAACAGTGGATCTTTTCAATAGTTGACCTCATCTTATTCTGAGACTGGATGACTGGCGGTCCCGAAAATCCATGCATTGTGACTGTCCAAGGAAACATCTACGGTACACAAAATCATGCAACATGTGTTGGTGTTGACGAACAAAAATTGTATAGGGGTGGGGTCCTGTAAAATCTGTAAATTTATCCCCTAAACCCTAAACTGGTTCTGAAGCTAAATTAAGTCACAAGTATTTCGCTCTGGCTCAAAATGATTGGAGTAGATTCGATATGTTCTGAAAATCGGGTACCTAAAAAAAGTCCGGTGGTGATTGTTTTTTCATGGCCATCTATCTATATGAATTTTTAGACACACCTAAATATCCTAAATCCCACAAAAAAGCGACTTAAGTATCAGGGTTCAGATAAGGGGGGAGAAGTTGTGCAATGGCATTTGGTAGGTACAAAGCGGAATGCATAGGGTGCGCAACTACACAATGCAGTGCATGTTACTTTTTTTGCAACTACAAAATGAGGAACATACCTCTTTCTGGCTCGGAAAATAATTCAAAATCAGCACTACAAAATCCAATGCATCTCAAGTTAAAAAATAGCTGAAAATCTGAATTGCTAACATGAATTTTCCCAATGACATTTTGTAGTTCGGTCTATGCCATCCAAAGTTCCGACCAACATAACTTCTGAGAACATTTTGTTGTCAATGATTGAATTTAGTTGGGTCAAGTGTTGACCCCGTGCAGTTTGTTAGATGGCATTCTGTAGCTTCATGATCTGTTACCTTGTTAGATGGCATTCTGTAAATTTTATGTTGGATGCTTCAACTAACTCAACATATACAACTACAAAATGAAAATGATGATTTGAAAGGAATCAACTACAAAATGAATGCAAATACAAAAAGGGGGGCCCAACCCCTCCTGTTTGTACAAAAAAATTCTGGCTGGCAATCTGTACTGTAGCCCAAGTCCTCCCCATTTCGTAGCTGAAATTTGAAGGAGGATACTTAAGTTGGTTGTATATATTCCAAAAAATATTCCCCATGATATCTCCATTTTATCCCTATGCTCGGTGAAATTAGCAGGTGCGGGGGCAAAAGACATGGAATGTGGCCTGGAATGTGGCCACGGGGTAGAAAATGAGTTGTAAGCCATGATATTCAATAGTGTCCATATCAAACCAATAGTTTCCTTTATGGAATGTTAGTTGTAACCCATGTCAAAGGCATTCATGGGGACCGCGAATGACAAAACCCCCAATCCCATACTACTCCCATACCACTTCCATTTCAGAAACCCCTCTTGTGGAAAGATTATGGGAATAAATGTGCCATGATCCAGTCCCCAAAAAAAAATCCCTGGACCATGTCTTATCCCCAGGCTTGCCCATCAAACCAGGCGAGAGCGCAATTCCACGTCCAAGCCGCAGAGAGTGGATCGAGTGAAAATCCACTGTCTGACATCAAAGATTTGAAGATCACCAACCGAAACCTGCACAGCAAAATCGTGGGAAAAAACGCCAGAAAAAACCGTGCTTCATATGGGAAAATGGACCTGCAAAAGCTGGCTGATTTTGGGGGGTTGGAAAGGTAACATGACCCATGAAAGGTGGCAGGTCTACAGCTATTAACACACATGGCAGGTATCACGAGAGGTGCATGGCAGTAAAATGTCACCGGACAGAAACCCAGAAACCATGGAAATGTGGAATTCACCGTGAAATCTGCCACAGATTTAGGACATGAGTAGGGAAGTACAGTATGTCACCATCGTTCTTTCGGGCTCTCCCGACTTTCCGGGATCTTCACCTCAGAGCCATGAAAACTGCCAGCGTCCTCGAAATACGAGTTGCTTGATAGGTATCCAATGGTATTCATATGCAGGTGATTAATGGTGATTATGGGTTATCATATGTTATCATAATTGCCAAAGAAAATTGGTTGAGTAACTAAGTATTACACCCCAATGTCATGATCCATCAACACTGCTATCGAGATAGCGTCTCAACTACATTCCCCCAATCTGGACATGTGTCACCAAGGAACTGTTCAATCAAGATGGCCATCACCAGAAGTGCCAGACCCAAGTAGCTCAAAAACAGCTCCCCATGGATCGTCGCCAAGACGCCCAACATCATCATCAGCAGCGGGCACAGCATCCGCCAGTTACAGCTGGAAGTGCCCAAGGAAAGTCCCAGCAAGAGCGCCAGCACCGGATTTCCACCTTCCAAAACTGGATCCGAAAATGACAACCAACCAAAAAAAAAAACAGGAACCTGAGAAAATTGAGTTTCAACAAAACTGGCTTGGATAGCATCACCTAGTTCACTCCCTTTGTTCATCGATTTTCCCTTAAATAACCAGTCAACAGGTCCAAGGCAAACGGTGTATATCATTCCCTGCTCCCGAAAGGAAAGCCCCTGATTTCGTATGGGATCTATGCCATTTTTTCGGATTGGGGGGCTATGATATCTATGATTTGATACGAGGAATGCGAGTAATCCCTGGCAATCAAACATGACAATCAAAAATCCCGGTTGTTGATTTTCCCATCAAAACCCCCCTTTTAGAGCGGATTTCCCATTGCCACGATTAGTTGTGCTTGATTTTACCCCATCAACCCATCCTTCATGATATGATGCCTACTTTAACACCATATTCTTATCATTCTCATCGTTTTGCTAACCCCTTCTGTATAATTATACCATTGCAAAATAAACGCACCAAAATTGGTAACGCCCCAATTTTGGTGATGGTGTACTAAGTTTACAAAAGGCAGTGGTCATGACTCCCATATCCCCAGTCCCCCAACATATTGAGTAGTACAATCCCTTGATAATCATCACCCAACAGGGTTTCTGATACACCATATTGGTTGATGATTATCAAGGGATTGTGACCGGGATTGTGACCAATATGTTCACCACATTTGTGGTTAACCATGGTTAACCCCATCACCAATGTTTGATAATCATGATACACCATGTTTTAACCACAAATTTTCATGACCCCCAATTCATAGCTTCTGACTCAGTGGCTTTTCAGCATATTCACGAAGGCCACTGAGAGCAACACAGCGGCAGAGTTGGACAAGACCACCGAGACGGAGAGCAACGCTCCTGGTGAACTGATTTTTCATGGGAGCTGGATCAAATGGTGATCAAAACGATATATTTCATAAAAATAGCGGGTGGAGGGAAAAACAATATGAGTTGATCAAATTTTGTTTAATGTGTGTATGTATATATATATGTAATTGATATGTAATTTGATATCTAATTGATATTGAACCCAAAAACGAAAAAACGAGTGTCTGATTTCGTGATTTCTTGGTATTTTTTGGTGTTTGACCAGCCATCCGCATTCTGGTGGCAAAACTCAATCCTCCCCCAACTGGGTTTCTGAAGTTTTTGCTCAGATCTACTTGGATTTGCATTTGAATGTACCAATGGTATTATAATTCATTTATATATAATCCCTTCCACCTAATATTAAACACCCCTCCAGAAACCATGGTTTAGCAGGGGATTTCCACATAATTGGGATCATTTAGGGGGTGTTTAAGAATGGGGGGATGAGATTATGTGAATGGGATTTTTACCCCTCCATGCTTGTGTCTGAACATGGGGTGTACATTGCCAGTGGATTTCCCTTCTGGTCATCCCACCATAAATGGATGACCATCTGACAAGCTGGCGCCCCTGAGTTGTAAATCCTATTTAAAAAAATAGGGAAACGATCAATATATGGCAGTGTGTCAAAACCTTGTACCCCTGGTGAACATCAAAATAACTGGTAAATGGATGTTCATCCCCCTAAAAATGGTATTAATAGGTATTGATCCATACCCATATTTATCATAATATTCACCTAGTTTGCTCAACCAACTTAGCGTTTTCGAAAAGGGGGGCCACCATGGGCCACCTTGAAGAACCCTCTGGTAGTTTTTCGCATGGTTTACCAGCGACACCTCCATGGTGGGGATTTCCAAACCAGGCATGTGAAACACAGAAGGCTAAGTGAAAAAAATGCCCCATGATATCCCTCTGACATAATGATACCCCCATTCTAACATCATTTTCTTGCATAAATCATTAAAATCACCATTTTTGTTGGTTAGAACGCCATTTTTGTTGGTTAAAACACATTTTTTGTTGGTTAAAACATCAGTTTAGTTGGTTGAATCACCATGTTTGTGGAGTACATTACCATTTTTCTTTAGAATCACCATACCATTTTTGTGGGTTAAAACACAATTTTTGTTGAGTACATTATCATTTTTGTGGGTTAAAACACCATTGTTGTTGGTTAAAACGCATTTTTTGTTGGTTAAAACACAGTTTTTGTCGGTTAAAACATCATTTTTGTTGGTTGAATCAATTTTGGTTCCGTACATTACCATTTTTGTGGGTTAAAAAAACCATTGTTGTTGGTTAAAATGCAATTTTTGTTCGTTAAAACACAATTTTTGTCGGTTGAAACATGTTAAAACATCATTTGTGTTGGTTGAACCGCTATTTTTGTTCAGTACATTACCATTTTTGTTGGTTAAAACACATTTTTTGTTGGTTAAAACACAATTGTTGTTGGTCGAATCATTATTTTGGGTGAATATATTACGACCTTTTTTGGTTGAAGCACAATTTTTGTTGGATACATTACAATCTTAATGCTTTAAAACACCATTTTTTGTTGAGTGCATTACCATTTTTTGTTGGTTGAACAGCAATTTTGTTGGTTAAAACACATTTTTTTTGCTTAAAGCATCATTCTTGTTGGTTAAAACACCACTTTTGTTGAGCACATCACCATATTTGTTGATTAAAAGACAACAAGTCGAACGACCTCCCCGCCTACGAGCAGCACCACCTTTGCCAACTTCCGTCGACGCTCATGATTTTCGTCAAAGCCCTGGAGTCCAGGAAAGAACTGCCTTGGCGATCCCAAGGCTCTGCAGAATTGTAGACAGCAGTTGATATTTAAATGATCTATTATAATTGTACATGATAAATTGTAAATGATCTATTTTAATTGTAGATTAATATTTAATCATAACAGATGATAATCTAGATCTTCAACAATTGTATGTCAGTTTTTAATGGCATGATATGATATGATATGACATGATATTATATGGGAACCTAAAATGGTGGTACCGCCAAATCCTCCAAAATTAGACATTTTTCCTATGGTTTTGGGGTACCCCCCAGTTTAGGAAACCTCCATATGACATTATTATGATGATATTGTTTCAAATAACGATGTGACAATAATGATAATTCAAATCATAGTGACAATAAACATTTTATATGTGTTAGGGTCAAGTTACATGGTAATTATAGTGTTTATGGACATCCCACTATTATTAGGAAATCCTTTTAATTCATGTATGTTTATCCCTATTGTGGATCGATGACCACCCGCCGATATGCGTATACAATCGGACTTTTGACCGTGGCACATATGAAAACAGTAGCAAGCATATGAATTCATATGAATTAAGAGTAAGTGAATGGACAACTAATAAACAAATAATGGCTGGTTGGTGGTTTCAACCCCTCTGAAAAATATGAGAGTCAGTTGGGTTGATGACATTCCCAATATGATGGGAAAAATAATCCAGCCATGTTCCAAACCACCAACCAGATAGATATGATATGATAGATACCCTCTGGTAATGACTAACATAGCTATTGAATATGGCCATTGAAATAGTAGATTTTCCCATGAAAAATGGTGGATCTTTCCATAGCTATGTTAGTCATTACCAGAGGGTATACCAGATATGGTGGTTGAACCCCCACAACATCTCCATAGTCAGGGATAGTCACTGAAAACCTCTCCAAGGCGCGGCTGCGCCCAGCGCAGCAGGTGTAGCAAGAGGCCGGTGGCCAACATGTGACAACAGGACAAGGTCATTGGAAACGGAAAGTTGGCACCCTCCGGGAGAAAGATCCTAGGGCCATGCTGACTTTCAGAACCGTTATTGATACTTTTTCACCGTTGTTGATACAACATCAGCTATAGTATTGTAACAAATATTGTAATATGACACCAACAACAATTGAGATATATATATATATATATAGACCAATGTCTAATCAGTGTTATTGCTATTGATAGATCGTAAGCAGTATAAAATGTTATATCCCAATTTGTTCTTGATGACCATGCCGGGATGCCGGACATGACCAACCAGTGAGGTGAACTTTGTACATCGCTGGGGGTTCTGGCATGGTGACAGACCACATACCACCTGGGATGCAAATCCGAGTGGACGCTTTTGACTTGTTTTTTTCAGAACGGGATTGCCCATCAAAACCACCCTGCTTTGTGGTTTCCAACTTTCCAACCATCCAAATTTGAAAATCAACTGGAATCATCAATGCTCGATCATCGTCATCGTCATCGTCATCATCATCATCATCATCACCATCAATCATCGTCATCATCATCATCGTCATTGTCATCCTCGTCACCATCGTCACCATCGTCACCATCGTCACCATCGTCACCATCGTCACCATCGTCACCATCGTCACTGTCATTGTCATCGTCACCATCATCACCATCATCACCATCATCACCATCACCACCATCACCACCATCATCACCATCATCACCATCATCACCATCATCATCGAAATTGTAGGGATGGAACTTCAAATCTGATGCCTCAAAAACAGACATTACTTTTTGTTCTCAAGACTCCACTTGTTGAAGATCGACAGTGTCATAGAGAGCATCATCCACTGCAGAGCTGTGGGCCAGGCACCCAACAAACCTGGGCTGGTGCGCCATGGCACACATCATCTTTGATGATTAATGTGGATTTTTAAAAAAATCGATTATAAAACACCATAAACACCATATCTGATATGGGGCCCTGAAGAAAAACTATGGTCATAGACCAACTATAACTGGCGATGCAACTTTCATGGCCGGCACCCCTACTTCCATCGGCTGAATTTCCGTGTTTCGGTGTACTCGAGGGGAGCCGAATTACAACCATGGTTTCAAGGGATGGGTAAACAAACATGTCCCAAGGCCATGGAGATCCCCCTCTTGTGCTTGGCGAGCAGAGGGGGTTGTGCGGATCCAAATTCTCCATGTTTTTTTGCCCAGCTGTTGGTTGATATTTTTGATAGCATCAGCCTCATCGGCCAGTATTACTGGTCATTACCCGCCCTCTGGACAAGAGACTTCTATCTTCCGGCTCCGCTTCTTTTGATGCCGCGCTACTGGAGATTGAGGCCAGAAAGGCCAAATAGCCCACAAGGCCAGTGGCCCCCAGAGCCATGTACGTCAATTTCCTGGGGTTGGCTGCGGGGCCGGGGGGATCTCCTCAGCACCCATTCACAGTAGCAGAGGCAATGGATCTTGATGCCTTGTGCGTGTTCAATCTGCAAGGCGCAGGCTGTAAGGTCTATTTTTCCAGGGCATATCTCAGTTGAACCACAGCTAGAGATCTCCTCCAGACAAGACTTTTCCAGGTCATGTCCCATTCACTTTCCCTTTACCAACCTCCAATTGTTATCTGTGGCAACCATTCGCAGCAACCGGCTTTCCCTTTTCCGACCCACCAGAACTTTTTCTCGCCGTCCTTGTCGGTTCCACGGCAGCAACATGCTCCCGGCGCACGAGATGACTGGACTCGGGGGTCTCCAGGACGGCGTCCCGGGAGTGGTTGGAAAGCTTGCTTGACGATGCCGAGGCGTCAATGACCTGCACTGAAAATGGAACAGTCCTCTGCAAATTTCATGAGTTTTGTATCTGAAAATCGGGGAGATACCACCGCGGCGATAAAAAGAATAGATTGAACCGGACATGTGGCGGTTGACCGATTTGGGACATCTTCCAGCAACGGACCAAGAGCGCTTTGGGGAGGTGTGGCAAGAGTCTTGGAAGAAATGATCAGGGCATATGTGGGAGTACAGCCATCAACATATTCGAGACACGTAAGAAAATCTACAGTGTACCCATCGAAAAATCGTTGGGAATATCGACCATGTTTTGACCATGGCACATATCACCCAAATGACACAGGGCTACGCGGGCACTGACCATGTCTGTCATTGTTGCCTACTAAAAGTATTCTAGGAGTTCTTTGAAGGTTTTGGTAGTTTGTGACCCTGGCTTAACTTGAGAACTATCTCCAACCAAGGAAAATAACCTGTGGAAAAACAAAAAGTCCTCAGACAACTGGAGTGTCGAACAAGAGAACGGCAATGCCATGTTTAGAGCCCCATAATCTCCAACGCAGCCTTTGAAAATCTCACTGACCGGCCGCTGGAAAGTCAAGTAAATTTTCCCCACGCAGTATGATTGCCTGTGAATGAGGGCATGAATGTCATTGCATTTTATTTCCCAGCTCTATTCTTCCCTATCGATTCTCTAGAAAGTAGGAAAATGGCATTTATTACTTACCATTCCATCATTTTTAACGAATTTTGAGGAATGGTATTCCTAGTTTCAATTCAGAATGGTATCATTGACTTTGAACATTTCCATATATTTCCATACATATATTATATATTTCCCCACCTGCCAGGTGAGGGTTGTTAGATTTTATGTCAGTTGCCTCCTCGTCCTCCTTCTCCTCCTCCTTCTCCTCCTCCTCCTCCGCCTCTTCTCCTCCTCCTCCTCGTCCTCCTCGTCGTCCTCGTCGTCCTTGCTCAACTGCGACCCGCGATCCACAGTGTTCTCTGCCGGACCTCAACCACGACCATCCACGCCCAGTGTTCCCTGCCGGACCTCAACCACGACCATCCGCGCCCAGTGTTCCCTGCCGGACCTCAACCACGACCATCCGGGCCCAGTGTTCCCTGCCGGACCTCAACCGCGACCATCCGCGCCCAGTGTTCCCTGCCGGACCTCAACCGCGACCATCCGCGCCCAGTGTTCCCTGCCGGACCTCAACCGCTCTTCTGACATATCTTCTGACATAATGCCAGATAGAATGTCAGCCAGAATGCCAGAAGATATGCCAGATAAAGTGCCAGAATGTTTGCCAGATAGAATGCCAGCAGATTTGCCAGATAATATGCCAGAAGATATGCTAGATAGAATGCCAGATGGAATGCCAGAAGATTTGCCAGATAATATGCCAGAAGATATGCCAGATAGAATGCCAGATGGAATGCCAGAAGATATGCCAGAACATATGCCAGAAGATATGCCAGAACATCTGCCAGAAGATATGCCAGAAGATATGCCAGGTAGAATGCCAGAAGATATGCCAGATAGAATGCCAGATCGAATGCCAGAAAATATGTCAGATAGAATGCCAGAAGATTTGCCAGTAACAACATGTAAAAATGTCACGGTGGGGATCACACGAAGTAAAGTAATTTTTTTTCCATATATTTCGAATAGAACGTCCCAGGCTCCTCTGAAGCTAGGCCTCCTCACCCTGACATCGCTGACGCCTTCATGGCCACCATGGCCACGGTGGCCTTGGCCCTGGTGGATGGCCACGACCGCCTGGATTTCATGGGATCTTCGGATCTTCGTGGAGAAAAACCCTCTGGTAACATGAAACATGGGGGATTTCACCATGATTTAATGGCATTTAATGGCATTTAATGGGATTTAATGGCATTTAATGGGATTTAATGGGATTTAATGGCATTTAATGGGATTTAATGGGATTTAATGGGATTTAATGGGATTTAATGGCATTTAATGGGATTTAATGGCATTTAATGGGATTTAATGGGATTTAATGGCATTTAATGGCATTTAATGGGATTTAATGGCATTTAATGGGATTTAATGGCATTTAATGGGATTTAATGGGATTTAATGGCATTTAATGGGATTTAATGGGATTTAATGGCATTTAATGGGATTTAATGGGATTTAATGGCATTTAATGGGATTTAATGGCATTTAATGGGATTTAATGGCATTTAATGGGATTTAATTGGATTTAATGGGATTTAATGGCATTTAATGGGATTTAATGGGATTTAATGGCATTTAATGGGATTTAATTGCATTTAATGGGATTTAATGGCATTTAATGGGATTTAATGGGATTTAATGGCATTTAATGGGATTTAATGGCATTTAATGGCATTTAATGGGATTTAATGGGATTTAATGGGATTTAATGGCATTTAATGGCATTTAATGGGATTTAATGGCATTTAATGGCATTTAATGGGACTTAATGGGATTTAATGGGATTTACCCTCTGGTAATGACATTCACAGTTTGCGAACTTGGAAATGGCCGAGTCGAAATAGTGGATTTACAGAAATGGTGGATCTTTCCAGTTCGTTTTTTGTATGTAGAAACCAGAGGGTAATGGGATCTTTCTGGGATTTTTTCTGGGATCTTAATAGATTTACTGCTGACTTGCTGCTAACTTTTTCTGGGATTTTTCATATGAGTTCATGGGATCTTGTTGGGATATGCTGGGAGTTTTGTTCACCAACTTCATATGATCATATGGGGATAAAATACCGTCCTCCATTCCCTGATTGGGAATCATTGTATGGCCATCTCCCAAGATGTGTATAGCATTCAACTTTTGACCATTGCACAATATTGCACATATGGTCAGTAATGTAGCGTAACGTCATGTAGTGACTATAGTGTAATAACGCAATGCAAAGTACAGTAAGAGGTTGGAAACTGGATGATTTCAGTAGCTCTCGCGACCCAATATGTGTTTTTTCCAGCAGAGTCATGCCCTTCCCACATTGCTGTGCGGCAACAATATGGTGGATCACGAAGGTTGTAGAGCCGCCGAATCTTGTCCATTGAAAATGGGTCATTCATTTTTGCACTCTGCACCAACTGTTCCAACTGGTGAATGCCGATATTATGTTTACCCAAATGAATTATGTAGTGAAAACCATTGGAAATCCACGACCCTCCCTTAAAAAAATAATTTATGGTACATGTGCGGTAGAATCCCCTCATTTATGGTGATTTACCATGTACGGCACATGGTATCGGCAACTCCCCCCTGGGCACCGGCAATAGACAAGGCAGAATGCGAAACATGGAAGGACCTGCTAGATCTTGGGCCTAACGGCCTGACGATAGCAGTACTTGCAGCCCGCCAACCAGAAATTGGAGATGTAACCCCAAATTCCCGAATCGTCACCATCAGGGCTTGTGAAAATGTAGAAGGTTTTCTTTCACTGTCAAAAATGTCATATCTATGTCTGTCCGTCTGTCTGGATGCATATAGTTAAGAAACTAGACGACGGTTGGCCCGAGAGCGAGTAGGTGTATAGGTACTCCGATGTGTTATTTGGTTGTATGATGTGCAGACGCCAAAGGTTTACATGAATATGTTCATGAGAATGTTATTTGAGATCACATGAATATGGTTTTAGGGTGTAGATGTCAAGCTAAGAAGATGTGATGATGTCAGGGTTTCAGTTGCAAGAGACAGACAAGGTATGCTGTATAGAAGATGTGAGAAAATACAAACCATACAGAACTGCTGATAGGCTCTCAAACACAAACACACGCAGAAAAACATGTTTACACATATGTACACACAGACACACACAGACACACACACAGACACACACACACACACCAAAAAAAAAACACACAAAGAAGTTTTTACACAGAAGTTTTTACACTTGGAAGTTTTTACACACAGAACCTTTTGCACACAGAACCTTTTACACACAGACGCTTTTACACACAGAAGCTTTTACACAGACCCGTTTACACACAAACGCTTTTACACACAACCCTTTTACACACAACCCTTTTTACACACAAACACTTTTGCACACAGACACTCCACCGGATCGCAAAAAACCATCAGTTTTTCACACTCGAACCTCATTTTGTGTGAAAGGGTTGCCGCGGACACTT